ACCGGGGTGGCACGGGAGGCCTTCTCGGGGGCCTGGGGATGGCTGTGCACTCTTGGCCTGAGCTGGATGGAAGAGGAGCACAGTGGCTGGGGGCAGGGCCCTGAGGACCCCAGAGGATTAACAGACTCTGGCTCTCACAAGCTTCCCAAAAGGACACTGCCAGAGGCTCAGGAAAGCATTGCTTGTATAAAGAACAGGCTGTATCAGCTAGGGACGGCTGTGAAGTGGCCAGGAGAAGCTGGGAGGTGGGACATGGCCTGAGAGGCCCCAGTGGCCCCATGCTACTGACTCAGGTCCCTCCTGCCTTGCACCATGTGCCAGAGTCCTCAGCAGAGTCATCATCAGTCTTAATGTGTCCTGAGCCAGCTGTACACCCACAGAGGACTCGGGGCTGAGGGGCATCCTGTGCTGCTGCAGGGCAGAGGCTCTGCATGGTGGGGTGCACAGGGTCCTCTGCTCAGTGGCCGCTGTTTGTCTTTCAGGTTAGACTGTGGAGATGAGACGTGGTGGCCACTTGCGATGGAATGGAAACGTCCTACCCCGCCCTGCCCCGCGTGCCTGCCCAAGCCAGCACTTCCTCCCTACCTTCTCACATCACTCAAACCAGTGACACCACAGGAAAGAGAGACCCAAGATGTTGGAATGGCTGTTTCCATGGACACAATCTCCATAGTGACAATGTGGGGGGAGGGGGGAGGGGCTGATGGGGAAGTGGGGGGAATAAAGGGAGGGATAAAAATATATATATATAAATCTATTTTTAGTCTGGAAAGACTTTGTTTAAATGAAAGGTGCGCTATCCCTTTTGATTCTATTTTAAAATTATCTAGTTAACTCCAAATTTGTTCCAGTGACAGTGAAACTTAAATGTGAAATTGAACTGAAAAACTCATCTCATAAAGGATTGGAGGAGAGCTTTGCTCTTCATCCTCTCCCACCAGTTCTGAGAACACTAGACCCAGGATAAACAGAGCAGGCGGGTCGCACCCAGAGCCACAGCCAGCCCGGCCCCCAGAGATCTGTCCACAGCGGGAAGGGTTGGGGACGGGAGTCGGGGCAGCCAGGTTTCCAGGGGTGTGGGGGGTGATGTTTCAACACAAAAATAAATTTTTTCCTTTCCAGAAACACTATTTATTTATTATTTTTAAAATTTTTATCTTTTGGGGGATAAAATTGGCAGGTGCCCCAAGGTTGTGGCTGTGTCCCTGGTCACTTGGCTGGGGAGACCCCAGGACCTACCAGGTGGGCACAGCAGCCAAGTCAAAGGATGGACCCAGCTCTGTTCTCAGCACATTCCAGACAACTGCGGCCGGACCCTGAGCCACAGGGACCCTGGGGTAGCAGGGGCCCAGGCCCGTGCCGTGAGAGCGGGGGCGTGAGAGGGATGGTGGCGTGAGGCACGGGTGGGCTGAGTGACCAGGGACAGCCACCTGCCATTTCTGCTTTTGCTTTCATTTTTATAATGGAAAAGGGGGCTGTTGGGTAAGCAGCCCCAGGCTTCGTGATTCTTTATGTTGCTTTGTTTTGTTTTGTATTTGTATAATTTTTAAATATCTGAGTTTTAAAAAAAAGAAAAAAGTACAAAAAAATCTTGTCAAGGCCTTAAGAAGGGTTGGTGCGTCTTTCAGGGGTCACTGCCGTGGGGATAAACAGCTGTTTCACAAACAGTTTTATTTAAAAACTAAAAACAAACAATCAAAAATAATAAACTTCATTTTAACCTTGTTTCCTTTTTTGTTTGCTCTAGAATGAATGCGTGTCTTCCTTTCCCATTCCAGCCCTCAAAAGGTGTCCTTCCTTCTGTTCCAGGAGTTACCCCTGACCTGTCCCTTTGGTCCCAGCTTCTCAGGGTTCCAGGTGGCCCTTAGAGTAGATGGTGGACTTACTTAACACATACGAGGACATGTTTCCAATGAACATCCACCTTAAAGATTATTAAAAAGTAGTGCAGTGTTAAAGGACTTTTTTAGGGATCAGAAGTCCTGGAAGGATGGTCACAGGTAGAAGTCAGCCATCATAAATTAGTGGTGCGCTCATCAGTTTGGGCCGCAGAAATGGCAGATTAATGTCATTCTGATGGCTGCATCCAGGAGCACTTCCAACGGCCCGGGTGGTGGCATGGGTGGGCGTGCTGCCCACAGCATGTCCTACAGGGGCTGGGGGCGGGACCTGCACGGACGAGAAGGCTTCTGAGCTAGTCGGCTTCCTGTGCTGGCCTTGACTTGGCACTAACACAGTTAAGATGAAATTAATAAATCTATTAATAAATCGGGTGTCAAGGGCTAAACCACAAAATTTGAAAAATAGTATCTGGAGGAAAATACTTTCCTGACACCAAATACTTCTTTGTCACTTTGCCTTTTATTCTTTTGTCCCTTTTGATATTTGGAGGATGTGTGGTGACAGTCCCATATCATGATTGTTCTGGGCCTTTCCTTGAGCTGGGGAGTAGACCGGCTGTCCTCTGGGCTTCCTACTCCAGTATCCTGGCTTCCGCAGAAGCTCCTGGAGCTTTTGGAGGGGTGTGCGTGTGTGTGCATTGTAACATTTTCTTTTGAGAGCAGCTTTAGGTTCGTAGCAGGAGATGCGGGGTTCTCCTGTGCACCTCCTCTGTTCCCCTCACGTGCCCAAGTGTCAGTGCCCTCACTAAAGGAGCTTATGTCTTAGTGCCAGCAGACGCACACCATATCTCCTGGTGGCCCAGCAGGTCCCATTTACTTTAGCATCTTTCTTGGTGTTGTATATGGCACGGGTTCGGACACATTTGTAAGAACACATTCCTGCCATGCTAGTCTCACAGGGTAGTTGGTGTGCCCTACAGCTGCTCTGTCCCCCCGCATTTGTCTCTTCCTCTGCCTGTCCCCGGTGACCGCTGATCTTGTCTTTCAGGTTTGGCCTTTCGTAGGCTCCTGTAGTTGGAATCCTACAGCTTGCAGCTTTTCAGACTGGTTTATGTAGCCATATGTGATTATGGCTCCTTGGGTTACAGAATGTGCAGCTCTGCTGGCTTGCTAGCTCCTTTGTTTCTACTGACAAACAGTAACTGTCTGGATTCCTACGGCCTGTCCTTCCACCTGCTGAAGGGCGCCTGGGTCGACGCCAGGCTTGACAATTATCAGTTGCTGTGCAGATCTCCATGTGGATGTAAATCTTCAGGTCAGTGCCAAGGAGCGTAATTGTCAGTTGGTTTAAGTTTGCAGCAAACTGTCTTCCAAAGCAGGGGCACCATTCGCATCCCCACCAGCAGTGCGTGAGGGTTCCTGGTGCTCCACATCCTCGCCAGGGCTTTTGTGATGTTAGTGCTCTTGATCTTTTCTATTCTACAAGATGTGCAGTGGCTCAAAATAAGTTTTAAAGTTTTAAATTTGTGACAGCCAGGCATGGTGGCACATGTCCATAATCTCAGAATTTGGGATGCCGAGGCAGGAAGATTGCTGCAAGTTTGAGGTCAGCCTGGCTCCAAATTGAGACCCTGTCTCAGATAGATAGGTAGGTAGGTAGATAGATAGATAGATAGATAAAGTTGTAAAACCGTGAATTTTCTCACCTTACTTTGATCTTTAAGTGAATGTTTCACTGATGCTGAGAGTATCCACATTGTCGTGTAGCCGATTTCCACAACTTTTCCATCCTACAAAGCTGAACCCTTGTGCTGCCCGTGGGCTGCTGATCTGGGCTCTGGAGCTTCCATTGCCGCGTTCTCCTGCTCCCCCCAGTGCTGGCCTTCGGAACCGGAACTCAGAAGGCAACCTGCTGGTGGTCCAGGAGGGTGCTGAGGGGCCAAGCCCCTTTCAGTCCCCAGGGTGAAGCTGGTGAGGCGTTTCCACCCAAGGGTACAGCGGTGCCTGCTGGGAGCAGGGTCAAATGCTGGAACTTTCTTTCCCTGACTGTTGGCTGCTTCAGGTTCCTGGCTGGCTTCTGACATGCTCACCGAGGTGTCCAGGTCACACAGGGCGCTCTGGGAAGAGGAGCAGGACCTTCTAACCCACCTCCTCACTACTGTATTGGAGCTGTGACCCCCAGGGCAGTGGCCAGGGGCTCCACCCCTGCGCAGCACATTCTCCCAATGGCCTGGGTGGTCCCAGGGTTGGGAAGCTCAGGCTGCTAAAGAAGAACTCCAAGAAGATTCCATGCAGGCTGCAGGAAGGATATGCTGCTCCAGCAGCTCCTCGTGTTTTGGATCACAGCACCAACATCGCTGTGACTTAGACCTCGTTACCTGACATCTAGAGCTCTGCCTCGGGACAGAACCACCTGCCTTTAATGGCCACAGAGGAAACGAGAGTTAGAGGAAAGTGTGCCCAGCATGCCTGGCACCTGAGTGCTAAGTGTCGGGAGGCACAGGCATCATGGCTGAAGCCTTTCTTTGTGGCTGTCTGCTCTGAACTCAAGTCCCCGGCACGACAGGATTCAGCCTGGATTGTACATGTGATTGCTGCATTGGCCCTCCCATGATTCCCTGGGGGTGTTAGGAAGGTGCTGCTGACCAGGCCAGGCCAGCAGCCGAGACCACTTCTGAGAATTCTCCAAGGCCTAAGTGGGTCTTCCCCACCACAGGTCAGTTGTGTGAATTTAGAGCTGACTGCCCCCGTGTAGCTGCTTGCCTCCTCCTGCCCCTCCCACGGGGCAGTCCAGGGGTGCGTCCACCTCACAGCCAGCCTGCTATGGCCTGCCCTGGTGATCTAGTCCCTCAGGCAGGCACCAGGTCTCCATGAAGCAGCTAGGACCGCTGCCTTGGTGAGTCAGCCCTCAGGCCTTATTGTGCCTCTCAGGCCTGCCCTTTGAGGCCTGTGTCACCTTCCCACTGTGGCCCAGTGCTAGCCCACTGCAATCAGTGTGTTCATTTCCTGCACAGCTCTCCCGTCACATGTCCAGCCCCATGTCCTAAGTATCTTGCGAAGGACAGGAAGGGCACAGACTTCCACAGCTGTTCAAGTCCCGCCCCTTCCCCTCCCTGCACCCGCTGGCTGCGTTATAAAAGACAGCACCCAGCACAGATGCACTGGCTGTGCTAAGTGTACTTTCTGGCACTAGGTACCCGGAGTGGTCAGACTTGCAGTGTGTCCAGAGGAGCCCAGGGATCTCCATGGGGCTGCTGACCGGAGATGCACTTTTTTCCATGGCCGTGGTCGTTGCCGTCTTCCTGCTCCTGGTGGACCTGATGCATCGGCGCCAACGCTGGGCTGCTCGCTACCCGCCAGGCCCTGTGCCTGTGCCTGGGCTGGGCAACCTGCTGCAGGTGGACTTCCAGAACGTGTTGTACGCCTTCTACAAGGTAGGGGACCTGGAGGTAGAAGGCACAGTGGCCCGAGTGACACTGCAGCAGCAGACAGGTGAAACCACACAGTGGACAAGGACCTGGACCTGTAAGAGGAAGCAGGTGGCAAGGTCTAGGAGAGGGGACTGCAGAGCCTGGGATACTTTGGACTTTGCAATGAAAAAGTTGTAGGACAAAGGCCAGGAGGTAGGGTGGCACTTGGCAGTGTGTTTTGGATCCAGTTGGACAGGACAAGTGGAGGCCCCAAGTCCCTGCAGACGGTGTCAGGGTCCTGTAGGTGAGGGGAGGGGTCAGGATCTTGGCATCCATCAGGAAATCAAGGCCGAGAGAGGTGCCGTGACGCCCTTCACCTGCTGTGGAGTTAGCTCACTGCTCACGTCTGTAGCCCCAGTTTCCCCCTGTGTAAACCAGGGTGCTGGTGGGTCCCTACAGTTCATGTAAAGTCATGGCTGGGGGACCAGATTCCTAGTGATTCGCAGACTTAGAAGAAGTGACCTCTCCACACTGGGACACCTCTCAGCCTCAGAGCACACCTCAGTGGTAGAGCACTTGCCTAGCGTGCAAGGGACCCTGCCTGGCCCCAAGTTCCTGGCCCTGCAAAGAATGAAAGGGGACGTCAGATCTCTGCAGTGCTCTGCTCAGTCAGGGTCTCCTGAGATTTCCACTCGGAGCTGGGTCCTTCAGGTTGGCTGGGACCCTGTCTTGAGGTTCATGACCCTTTTACCTGCAGTTGCGGCACCGCTTCGGGGATGTGTTCAGCCTGCAGCTGGCCTGGACGCCCGTTGTCGTGCTCAACGGGCCCGCGGCCGTGCGTGAGGCACTGGTGGACCACAGCGAGGACACTTCAGACAGACCACCAGTGCCAGTCTACGAACACCTGGGCTTCCAGCCACACAGCCAAGGCAAAGGGTGGTGGGCTGAGGGGACGGGGCTGGTGGCAGTGACCAACTGAAGTAGATCTAATGGGGCAGTTATATGGTCCTGGGACACAGAAAAAGCCCTGAATTTTGGGCGTGTGGATGAGAAAAAGGCCCGTTGGAGAGCTGCGGTCAAAGGTGTGGGTGCATTGGGGGACAGTTTCTGATGAGAGGAGTATAACAAGGGTGATGGCCCAGAGAGCGTGGCCAGTGCACCTGGTCACTCGTATATCCCTGTCACCCTCCCAGGCGTGGTCATGGCGCACTACGGACCTGCCTGGCGTGAGCAGCGGCGCTTCTCCCTGTCCACCCTGCGCAACTTCGGCCTGGGGAAGAAGTCCCTGGAGCAGTGGGTGACCGAGGAGGCTGCCTGTCTCTGTGCCGCCTTTGCCTCCCAGAACGGTGGGTGGTGGCTTGAGGGGCACCAGGAAGGAGTGCGGCAGGAAAGTGAGAGAAGGGATGACACCATGAAGTGCACCCCTGTTCCCAGGACGCCCTTTTCGCCCCAACGCCTTGCTGAACAAAGCCGTGTGCAACGTGATCTCATCCCTCGTCTACGGGCGCCGCTTCGAGTACGAGGACCCGCAGCTGGACAGGACACTGGAGCTGCTGCAGGAACTGCTGAAGGAGAGCTCTGGCTTGGCCCTGCAGGTGCGGGGCTCCGGAGAGTCCGGGCGGTTCCCCCTCTGTGCTGCTGGGCCCCTTGGGAAGAGAATTCACTTGCAGGGGAGATAGAACCAAGGGCACCCAAAGAAAAGCACGCTAGCAGGAAAAGGCTGGTGGTGGCAAATGTCACACAACAGTGCAAGAGGTGGCCGGGGTTTTGGGCTCCGGAGAGGGCAGGGTCTGCACCTCTGATCCATGGTGGGAGCTGCCGGTGCTTGTGAGACTTGCAGGGTTGGATGTTGCTTCCGGCAGCCAGGCCAGGAGTGAGCGGGCTACCAGTGGGCCCAGGCAGGCCAGGCTACTGAGGGAGGTGGGGCTCTGAGCCTGGTCCAGGTGGGAGCTACACGAAGGAAGAACTTGGGTCCCCTCTGTGCCTGTCACAGGTGCTGAACGTGATGCCCTGGCTGCTGCACATCCCAGGCTTAGTTGAAAAGTTTTTCTCTGGGCACAAAGCATTCAGTGCCCTCCTGGATGAACTGGTAATGGAGCACAGGATGACCTGGGACCCGGCACAGCCGCCCCGAGACCTGACTGATGCCTTCCTGGCCAAGATAGAGAAGGTGAGGGCCTGGGTGCTGGGGGAGCTGCAGACAAGTGAGACATCAGCCTCTCCCAGGAAACAGGGCTGGAGTTAAGGGGTGCAGATTAGAAGACCATTTGGGGGCATTCTCCCACCATACCCCGACCCACCTTCTCTGCCCGGCCCAGGCCAAGGGGAACCCTGAGAGCAGCTTCAATCAAGCGAACCTGTACGCTGTGACAAATGACCTGTTTGCTGCAGGGACGGCAACAACATCCATCACGCTGGCCTGGGCCCTGCTGCTCATGATCCTGCACCCGGATGAGCAGCGTGAGCCCAGCAGGGAATGGGGGTGTGGGAGGTGCGAGAGGCAAGGCAGTGGCAGGTCCTCAACCAAGTGTGACACAGTGCTGAGGTTCCAAGCACTGGTGTGACCTAACCTGTCAGAGTGATGCCCTGCTCACCTGGTCACAGCCCTTAGCAGAAGGCAGAAGGAGAGATTCAGGCCACAGCTCTACCTGTGGGGACCCTTGTCTGTGCAGGCCATGTCCAAGAGGAAATCGATGCAGTGATAGGGCAAGGGCGGCGCCCAGAGATGGCGGACCAGGCCCGCATGCCCTTCACCAACGCCGTGATTCACGAGGTGCAGCGCTACCGACACATTGGCCCATTGGGTACACCCCACATGACGAGCCGGGACACTGAGGTGCAGGGCTTCTTTATCCCCAAGGTAGGCCTGGGGCTCTCCTTCCCCAGTGTGGCCACTCCCAGATAAGGCTATGCCTTGCCCAGGACACCCGATCCTGGATTCCACTGGTGCTGCCAGGTCCTGCCTGGTTGTATGCAATGCTGAGCACAGACTGCCTCTTCCCTGTCCCATGGAACCCCCTGGGGGTGACGATAAACTAAAATAAGCCAGAAAGTGTTGGAAATCCCCCTCTAGGCAGCAGCAGGTGGCAGTGAAGCACCCATAGGAATCTCCATGTGGCATTGCCATTGTAACAAAGAGGGTGCTGAGAAGCCTGGGCCTGAGGACCTCGGGAAGGGGCCAGGCACATGGCAGGAACTCCTACCCATGTGTGCTGACTAGAGGGTTCTGGGGCTCCTCGCTTGGTCCACCTTCATGCTGTGCATCTCCCACCAGGGGACCACGCTCATCACCAACCTGTTATCTGTGCTAATGGATGAGACCATCTGGGAGAAGCCCCTCAAATTCCACCCTGCACACTTCCTGGATCCCGAGGGCCGCTTTGTAAAGCCCGAGGCCTTCATTCCATTCTCAGCAGGTGCCTGCTTTTTGGGTGCCCAGATGCTGGCCCCTTTTCAGGGTGCCTGGCTGGGGAGGTGCCCAGGCCCCTGGCCAACTGAGCCCTCTTTCCACCCACAGGGCCCCGCACGTGCCTCGGGGAGCCCCTGGCCCGCATGGAGCTCTTCCTGTTCTTCACCTCTCTGCTGCAGCGCTTCAGCTTCTCGGTGCCTGAGGGGCAGCCCCGGCCCAGTGACCTTGGGATCTTTGGCATTCTGCTGAACCCACTCCCCTACCAGCTCTGCGCTGTGTCCCGCTAAAGGGCCACCCCACACAGCCAAGCAGAGCCTGGCAGCACTGTGGAATCCAGGATTGGCAGCCCTGGGTGCTGCCTGGCTCTCCACATGGTCATGGCCATGCTGGGCAAGGGGAGCCCCAGACCTACCTTGGGTATGCGGAAGCCCTGCTACCTTGGGTATGCGGAAGCCCTGCACTTCTGTCACGAGAAGTCATGTAGGGTGTAAGCAGCAGCCATCCGCTACCAGGTCTCTCTTCATCTGCAGCAAGCACTCAACCTGGCCCCAGCTGGGGACCTCCATGCACAATAAACCAGACCTGTGGCCACCACTATAGTTAGTCCCTATCTGGTTTGAATCCTCACCTGCCTGTGTGAAGTCAACCCTGACCCTCTGCCTCATCCATCCTAAAAGAAGCTCAGGTGTCCACAAGGCAGTGGTTATAACGATGCCCAGCAGTGACAGCTCACCGCATGTCACCCATGGAGACCCAAGACCAGCACTGAGTTGGTGCAAACCCTCAGCAGTGGCTCGGGCCACATGGGTGTCGGATGAGGCCAAGTGTGAGTGGGTTTCCTCTAAGAACCAGCCCAGTCCCTGGCAGGGTGACAGATGGCACTGGTGCTCCCCAGTCCCCTCAGGTGCAGTAAGTTACCAGAAGGCTTGTAGAACTAGAAAGCTGCCACACTCAGTGTTGTGACTTAGGACAGATGACAGTCAGCTGCAGGGTGGGCAGTGGGGGGTTCCTGGAAGGCTGGCACAAGTGTCCAATTTTCTGAGTAGAGTCCAGGTGATGATCAGTTGTCCCAGCCAACAGGTGGGACACGTAGTGGGCCATGCTAGGTGCAACTCAGAATCCAGGATTTTCATGGAAGTTCAGTCTGTGGGTGTGCAGTGCCCACGTTGTTTAGTTCTCACGCTCTCCAACTTTTCTGACACCAGGGACAGGCTTTGTGAAGACAGCTTTCCTGTAGACAAGAAGTATGGGAATTGATTCAGGGTGATTCAAGTCCATTATACTTTCCGTGCACTTTATTTCTATTATTATTACCCTATAATATGTAATGAGATAATTATACAGCACACCATAATGGAGAATCACTGGGAGCCCTGAGGTTGGTTTCCTCCAACTCGATGGTCCAATCCGCATGAAGAGAGACAGTGACACCTGCAGCGTATTGGTCCAGCTGATTCCATGGTCTCCTTTTGGTTGCTGTCACTTCAGAAGTCCCTGCTTCCCTCGGGATGCATGAAATGGAAGGAGGCTTTAAATGCTTTGAGGGAAGTCTCAGGATATTTAGCCTAAACCAGAATCTCTGGAGATTTGAGGTCATCTCAAAGATACTTTTAAGGCAAATGTCATTTGTGATCTCATGCACTGACCTTCTTCTAGCATGGACAAAGTCAGTTTATCCTGCTCATACACAAATGGGCACAAAGCTGTATCTTTCCCGGTCAGAGGTCTTTTGTGGTTGGGAAGTAATGCACAAACTCTTTTGAAAGGTAAGATAGGCAACTGTTGTATCCATGAGTTACAAGGAGAACAATTACATACCGGACATAAAATTTATAATATTACTTTATGGTCACCCAGTGTTAAATATAAGACCTAGAAAATACAGTCAAGGGCCTGGATCCCACAGTAATGTCCTTTATGAGGCCAGCTGAAGACCTGGAGCCCATGACAATGCCTCCCACTAGTCCAACTGGAGGCCTTGAACCCAGGACAATGACTCATGCAAGTCTCTTTTATGAAGCTGTGTTGGGAAGGCCCAAAGGTCAGTGGTGGAAACTAGAAAGTCTATGCCAACAGGATGAAGGATCTGTGCCAGTATGTGGAGTGTTCTACACTGGAACCAGGAAGTATGACACTCAAGGGCCAGGCCTCCCCTGAAAAGTACCACAGCCATCCTCAGTGACAATGAGGTTGTAAACTCCTCCAACGATGACAGTCAAGCACATGTCAGGAAGCCAGCATGACAACGTCTGGAGATTAAACAGCACACATCTTCCCCTCCAGAGCCAGGAAGCGATGCTCAGTGTATGGGCCAGAGCTCCTCCAAAATGAATCGCAGCCACTCTCAGTGACGAGATCCTGAGCTTCTCTGATGAGAATAACTGGATTCATATCGAGGAAGCTAGCCAGGACGAGCTCCTCCAGAAGAATCAAGGGCTCCAGAAGGCAACACTTAGAGAAACCTTCAATGCCTCGTTCTTCTCCATGCCTGTATTTATGCTGGCAACTTTCCTTAGGTGGCCCATCTACACTCAGTGCCATACTGATTTAATTTAGTGAGTGTTAAGTTGACCATGCATTTTTAATTCATAACTGCAACCATGCACCAGCTGAGAGAAAGAAGGCCCTGGCTCAGTCTCTTTTACACTCTCTGCTAATGTCTGAAACATGTTGAAATCCCAGCGTTCATTCATCACCCCCGTAATTCCAGTGTGGCTTTCAATGCAGCTGCTTTATCTGCTGACTTGAACACAGTTGTTCTCCACTGAAGTGACAGATTGGAGTTTGTCCAGCAGGTTGAATATGTCACACAAGGAAGTTTTATAACTCATTCTTTGTCACTGAAATGTGCTTTCAGTATCAACTGATTTTTTCTAAAAGAAACCTCAGGAGTCACTCAAAAACTCTGGCTGGTGATCTGCCTTTAGATAACCATCTCACTTCTGTGTGTAAGAAAAGACATCATCTGTGCACTGGGTCTAGCTCCTCACAGAGCTGCACAAACAGGTGCGTTAAGGACATGTGCTTTAATGTGGTTGCTCATTTTAGCCACAGTGTGTTAAGCTAGGTGACGTTTCTCAGCTCGCCAGTGTCTCTGTGGCTGGCACAGTACATGCCCCCACACTCGAAAGCAACCTCTTTGATCCATATGGTAAAACCTGAAAGCTGTCAGGTCCAGGCAGCTGCTCCACCCATGACTATTCTGACACAAAATGACCAGTTCTGTTTTGTGATATATCATCATCATTCAAAGAGTGGCAGAGTTCTACAGGTAAAGAATAGGTTGGCAACAAAAATTCACATAATGTATCCTCTTGCACATCCCCCTGAAAAATAAACTAGGAAAACAACAACATCGTCGCCTTGTTGTCAACATCGGTAAACTTATGGAGCTGGGTTTTGTACTATCAGTAGCAACAGTGCCTGAATATTGCTGTGCTGTGACATCAGTGCACCTTTTTACGATGCTGGCTGGGAGCAGCAGGAGGGCAGCTCTTCACCAACAGTGAAGGGATTCTTAGCTTCAATGACACAGTAGCCACTGGGGATGATGCTCGCAGTGCAGACATGTTTCATGAAGTGAAGATCTTCCATACTTGCCTAGATTCTTTGTATTTATTTATTGTTTCTTTTGCAAAACTCCAAGTGCTGATTTTTAATGCAAGATGCTTGATCTCTGTGACAGGGTTTTGAAAATTTCATGGCTTCATTAGATAACCAATGTCTATATATTGTATGAGGTGGGCTGGAGAATGAGTCATCTGTTGCAATGAACTTGTAGTTTAATTGGAGGCTTTTGGCGGGGGAGATTCAACTTGCTTTTTGTGAGAACCTGAAAGGCAGCGCTGAAGGGAGGCGCCCTGCAGCGCCATGTTGACTCGCACAAGGGAAGAACCCTTCAGCAATAAGGCTTTGAGACCCTCCTGGTGTGTGTCCAAGGCTCCTGGCATCCTCGCACATGAGAAGGTTTCCAACGCCGGCTGCACAGTGACCACAGCAATGAGCCTGAGGCAGATGCAGTTGTGAAGAATGGGGGCATCTCTGTCCCAGGATTTGGGTAGCACCTGTTTGTGGAAGGAGGGGACACTGGGAAACGTGCTCGAACTTTAATAGGAAGTTGTTTTCAGTGGAGAAGTCTCCAGCTGCCCAAGCAGCCAGTCCTGTCTGAAAAGGGACATTTGAAGGCACGAGAGGCCTCTCAAGACCCCTCACCTGAGCAGTGCTATCAGGGGACAGCGCACTTCTGGGGACTAACTGGCCCAGCAGGCTGCACACTTGAGCCATGCGCATCAGAAGTCACAGGGCACAGTGTGGCTCCGCAGTACAACACAAATACGTTCTGCAGGGTCTCAAAAGGCCATGCCCACCACTGCCTCTCCAAGTGATCACAGGTGACATGCCTGCTTCCAAAATGTGAAAATTATGTAAAATTTCACCGCCTTGATTGTTTATTCAGAGGACTGGCTAACCATGGAAAGCACAGGCAGCGCTGGAATCCTTCTTACCTGCTCTCCTCCTTTGCATCCGCCTGCCCAGCTCAGCAGAAGCCCTGACAGGCTGCAGCCTGCAGTGCCCGTCAGCCCCACGGCCCCCCAGGAGGATCCCCAAGGTCCCCAGAAGGAGCACGAGACATGGTGTAGGTATGGCTAAACTGGGTCAGGCTGGGGGCAGGTGACATCTGGGCTCACTGATTCCTGTCAGTGGATCTCCAGGGTGGGCCCCTCTTTCAACAGCTCAGGGTAGATAACATCTGTAGCCAAGGATGATGCTGACTGGTGTAAACAGCTTACATAACCAAGGCTATTACTGGCACGTGGCCATGGAGGTGAATCTGGTATAAATGGAGACTAAGCGGCCAAGGACTGCTGGGAGTGTACAGTGGGGAGGGCTGCAGAGCGGCTAACCAGGTGGACTCTGGCTGAGCAGCTGAGTAAAAGGTGTTTCACCCAGTCCACAGCTCTGCAGCTCTTCTTCAGGCTGCTCGAACCTCAGGTGACTTGCCTGGTCTGCACTGGTGAAAGACAGGGTTTCCGTGTTCTATTCTGGTGGCACTGGACACTGGGTATTGAACCCAGGGGCCTTAGCAGTGTGCTGCATCCACAGCCTTTTTTATTTCTTACAGCTTACTAGGTTGCTCAGGCCTCTTAACTGGCTCCTCCTGCCTCAGCCTCCCAGAGTGCTGAGATCACATGACTGAGCCATCATGCCCAGTCTTGTCACATTAATTGGAAGTACTGAGTCTTTCGTGACAGCATCCACAGGCCTCACCAATTATTTTCCCCCAGGATGTAGGTGATGCCTGTTTGGGGGAGGGGCAGGTATGTTTTACCAAAACAATGAATTCCAGGAGCAGCTGTACTGGTCATTTCTAGAATATCACGTCCAAAGAGTGCAGCGTTGTATCTGAGAGCACAGAGCTCAGATGAGGACCACGATGCTACCCTGGAATTTTAACCTCAGTGCCCGCTATTTCCTCTGTCCTGGGAACACAGAGCCACCTGCTGTGGCTTACTTTTCTTGCTGCAAGAGGCATCAGTGAATTGAAGCACAGGGCTATGACCAGCAGTGCCTGCACCGAAGGGCTGGCCCGGAAGACTTATTAATGTACATGTGTCTGGTGGCTGCCCCACCCTGACCACAGGATCCTGGCATGAGCAGGACACTGCCTGAATTGCAGACACGCCTGTGACTTCATACCCATGTGAGGATGACTTCTGGAGGACAGCTTGACACCCCAAAACACACACACGTTAAATGAAGGCAGTCCTGCCCTGTGCCAAACACCTGGACCTTCCTGCCAGCCCTGCCGTGAGTCTCTGATGTTCTTGGGTAGGAAGTCGATGCCAGCTGGGTGGGCACACTTGGCTGAGGCCGTGAGGGAGGCACAGGCTGGATCTGAGAAGTGCCAGGCGTAAGTGGTGTGGCAGATTGATACTGGTGTCAGCTTGTGTCACCAGCTGAACTGAATCAGCGTGGTCGGCCCACTTGATTGCTGCCAAATAAAGGGAGAACTGGAGCGGGAGAGGAGCGCCACCGGTTCTCCACGGGGTTGGTTCTCCAGTTGCTGTGGGCTCTCCTGGAGGAGCTTGTGAAGCTCCTTTTCTGGTAGGAACTCAGCTGTTGTCATTATTGGAGGAGCTCGGGACCTGTTATCACTGAGGATGACTGTGCTACTTGTCAGAGGAGCTCTGGTTCTTACTTTAAGTGTCGCTTCGCTTCGTGGCTCCAGTGCAGAACCTCCAAACTACTGGCACAGATCCTTCACTCCGCTGGCACAGACTTTATGGCTTCCACCACTGACCTTTGGGGTCCCCCAGCACAGATCCGTAAAAGAGATTTACATGAGTCATTGTCATGGGTGCTAGGTCTTCAGCTTGTGTTATGGATTAAAAACTGATGGTCAGTTTAACAGCAGCTGGATTACATCAGCATGGTGCTGAGCATAGATGTCCCACCTGAGGAAAGTTGCCAGCATAGAGATGTGGAAAAGGAAAAGCTAGGCATTAAGGTGCATTGAGGCACTGAGGCATTGTGGGTTCTCCTATGTGTTGCTGTTTGAGCCATTGGTTCTCCTGGAGAAGCTCTGGTCCTCACATCGAGCATTGCTTCCTGGCTCAGGAGGGGAAGACGTGTCGATTGGTCTTCAGGATGAATTTGTCACACTGGCTTCCTGGCATGTACCTGACTGTGCTTATCATTGGAGGAGCTCGGGGCCTCTGTGTTGCTGAGGACAACGGTGGTGCTTTTCAAGACAACCCTGATCTTGTGAGTGTGACTGCTCAGCTCCAGTGTAGAATCCTCACCCTACCAGCACAGCTCCTTCACCCACTGGCAGAGACTTTCTAGCTTCCACCACTGACCTTTGGGCCTTCCTGGCATGGATCCATAAAAGAGACTGACAGGAGTTGTTCTTGTGGGTTCTGGACCTCCAGTTGGACTCAGGGGAGGCATTGTCATGAGCTCTGGGTCTTCATCTGGACTCCTATGGGACATTGCTGTGGGATTCAGGCCCTTGGCTGAATATTCTGTCTTTAGTGTTGCAGATAGATTTTCTGCATTTCTTTGTGTTAACTCTGGGTGACCATCATAAAAATAATATTATAAACTCCATGTCCTGATTCTAATTGTTCTCTGCACAACCGCTGACTACAATAGCTGGATGCATGCACAACATTGCTGTTGGATCCAGGCCTTGGGCTGGATTCCTTGGGTCTTGGTGTGTGGGCAGATTTCCTGCATTTCTTGTACTCACTCTTTGGGTGACTGTCATAAATAATACTATAAATTATGTGTCCTTTATTGTCTTGTTCTCGTTGTAATCCCTGACTACAATAATGGGCCTTGGCCTTCTGGTGAGCTGAGTGGCCTCGAACCTGGTCGCCAGATCTGCAGATCCCACACTGCATCTGTCTGCATCCTGCTGCCTCTCACACATGCAACAGGATGGTTCAGTGGTGCCTCAGTCCCCAGCCAGGCCATCTTGACCTACAGTGGCTCTCAATCGGCCAGCAAAGTCCTCCCTGAAGTCCCCAAGGAAGTCCTGCTGCAGCCTGAGGCACTGTCCCCAGGGCTGTCAAAGCTTTTCTACCTTGGCATGTCAGTTCTCTCACATCTCTGTACCCACTCTAGACATGCACTTGGAGCAGGCATGCATGTGTCTCTTTCCCATGGTGCCTCAGGGTCACCTCAGTATAACACAATGAGTGTGATCATCCCCTGGTCTCCTGCCAGGTATCTGCTCCCCTCCCCTTGGTATCGCGTGCAGAGACGAGAAGGGCAGAGACTTCGGCCCCCAGCCTTTGCTCCCTCCAGCACCCTGTGGCTGCATGGTCAACAGAGCGGTTGGTTCCTGCCAGAGGACAAAGGGCAGCCTCAGCTTTTTTGAGTATAGGCGGTCTGCTGCACATCTAAGTGGTGGAGTGTGTCTCCTGGTCCTGGGGAAGTGAGTGGTGACAGGATCTGTGTGTCCAGAGGGGTCTGTGTTGGGAATTAACACAAACCATGGGGCGGCTGACTGGGGATGCACTGTACTCTGTGGCCATGGCTCTGGCTGCTTCCTGCTCCTGGTGGACCTGATGCACCCGTGCCAGTGCTGGGCTGCTCCCTACCCACCAGGCCCCATGCCAGTGCCAGGGCTGGGCAACCCGCTGCAGGTGGACTTTGAGAACCTGGCATACTCCTGCCACAGGGTGAGGGAGGTGGAGGCAGCACTGACAGAGGTAATGGTGACCCCCATCTCCGGACAATGGGTGGTAGGAAAAACCGTGGGCTGGACAGGGACCTGGGACCCTAAGAGGAAGCAGTGGGCCAAGGTTCCTAGAGGAGGGGACTACAAGGTCTAGGGACCCTTTGGATTCTCTAAGGACAGGAGTGGAGTGGACAGTCAGTGGACCTGGGAGTGAGTGTGTAGGGCACAATTTGTTTAAGCCCCAAGTTTCTCCTGCTGACATCAGACGGAAAGGTGCTTGGATAGCGGAGTGGGGCCAGGCCCCTGAGCTGCCCTCAGGCAGGAAGGTAAGGCTCAGAGGTAGCCACTGACCTGCTTCATGGTATTTACTCAGTGGGGTCTTGGGCCTCTCTGCTCATTCCACTACCTTGATTTCCTCGTCTGTAACCTGGGAGGCTGATGAGGCCAAATACAGTGTCCTGATTCCATCCAGGTCATAGCTGGGGGTGGGGGTCAGATCTGTCTCTAAAGTGATTGCTCTGAACATCAGAGGATGTGACCCCTAGCATTGGGACCCGATATCCTGGGGCTTAGTGGGACCTGGGTTCCTGTGTGGGACCAGGCGTTCCACCCACACTGCTAAAAGGCAAAAGGCACATGGTGGTCCTTGTTTTATGTGATCTTGGGGCTGCCAGCGTGACAAGTACCCTGACCTCCACATATAGCTTTGAAGTCGCTTTGGGGACATGTTCAGCCTGCAGTTTGCCTGGACTCCAGTGGTCGTGGTCAATGGACTTGCAGCCGTGCGGTAGGTGCTGGTGAACCACAGCAAGGACACCTCAGAACGGACACCCTTTCCCACCTATGAGCACTTGGGCTTCAGATCGAGTTCCAAAGGCAAAGAAAGCATGGAGGGGCACAGATGACTTCAGAGTAAGACTTGGGGGAAGTGGCCAGGGGGAGGCCAGGGCCTAATGGTAAGGGTGATGTGGTCAGGGATACAAGGAACGGCCCTGTGTCCCTGGGGGAATTCTGGAAAAGTGAGGGCACAGAGAATGTGACCAGTGCCCTTGATCACTCACATGCCTGCCTCATGCACAGATGTGGCCCTGGCACCCTATGGACCCGCCTGGCGTGAGCTGTGGCGCTTCTCCGTGTCCACCCTGCGCAACTTCAGCCTGGGGAAGAAGTCGCTGGAGCAGTGGGTGACCGAGGAGGCCGCCTGCCTGTGTGCCGCCTTTGCCTCCCAGGACGGTGGGTGATGGGCCAAGGGGCACCAAGAGTGGACAAGGCAGGAGAGTGACAGAAAGGATGAAATGATGAGGTATATCCCTGTTCCCAGGACGCCCTTTTCTCCCCAACACCCTGCTGAGCAAAGCCGTGTGCAACGTGATTGCCTCTCTCATCTATGCCCGCCGCTTTGAGTATGAGGACCCAGGCTTCATGAGGATGATGGACCTGCTGGAGGACTCTTTGAAGGAGGACTCTGGCTTGGTTCCCCAGGTGCGGGGCTCCGGGCAGTCTGGGCAAGAGGCAGATTTGCATACATCAGCGACAGGAACAAGGCACCTGAGGGAGGACACCCCAAGTGGAAAGAGCAGAAGGTGGAGAATATCAGACAACAGTCACAGAGAGGTGGCCCAGGGTCAGGACTCCCGGGAGGGTCTCCTGTCCATGTTGGGAGCTACTGACGCTCCTGAGATTTCCAAGGTAGCATGCTCCTTGCAGCAGCACAAGCCAGCAGAGACCGTGGAGAACACAGGTCTCAGTGACATGGGCAGCCCCTGTATCGTCCCTGAGGAGCTTGGGACCTGAAGCTGGTCCAGCTAAGCGCTGAACACAGCAAGGACCCAGAGTCTCTCTGTGGCCGTCACAGGTGCTGAACGCAGTCCCCATGCTCCTGTGCATCCCTGGGGTGTCTGAGAAGGCCTTGCCTGCACAGAAAGCCTTCTTGGATCTGTTGGATGAGCTGTTGACAGAGCACAGGACAACTCGGGACCCAGCACAGCCACCCTGAGACCTGACTGATGCCTTGCTGCATGAGTTGGAGAAGGTGAGGGGCAGCTGCCAGAGATGAAGCGGGGATGGGTGCTGGGGATCCAGTGAGGTGAGAGCAGGAGAGGTGGGCCTGGGTATCTCAAGGGACCCAGCACCTTAGTGGGTGGATGTAGGATGGGTTCATGGGGGATTTCCTCCCTCTTCCCCCTAAACCTACCCTCTCTGGCCCAGGCCCAGAAAACCCTGAGAGCAGCTTCAATGATGAGAACGTGCGCCTGGTTGTGTCTGACCTGCTCATGGCAAGGATGGTGACCACTTCGACCACGCTGGCCTGGGCCCTGCTGCTCATGATCCTGCACCCGGATGAGCAGCGTGAGCCCAGCAGAGGCTGGGGGAGAATGCGGAAGGAAGAGTAGTGCAGGGTCCTCAGGAGTAACTGAAGGCCACTCTTGGCTCCAAGAAAAGGCTTCCCAGGTTCTTGTAAGCATGACACCCTGCTTACCTGGACACAGCCCTTAAAACAGGCGTGTAGAGGGTCAGGACACTGCCTCCAGGACTGACCCCCCCTTGGGGATTCTTGTTTGTGCAGCCCGTGTGCAACAGGAGATCGATGAAGTGATAGGGCAGGGGCAGTGCCCAGAGATGGCGGACCAGGCCCGCATGCCCTTCAGCAACGCCGTGATTCACGAGGTGCAGCGCTTTGCAGACATCGCCCCAATGAGTTTACCCCACATGACGTCACGTGACGCTGAGGTGCAGGGCTTCCTCATCCCCAAGGTAGGTCTGGGGCCCTCCTTCCCCAGCCTGGCCAGTGGATTCCCCTGGTGCTGCCAGGCCCAGGCTGGCTGCATGTGATGTTGAGCACAGACAGTGCCTCCCTGTCCCCAATGAGTCTCTGGGACAATGTAGTAAAGAAGTTTCCAGCCGGGGGGTGTCACATGTCTGTGATCACAGCCCTTGTGAGACAGAGGAAAGAGGATTGTAGTGAGTTAAATGCCAGCCTGGACTACACAGTGAGAGTGTTTCTTTAAAAAAAAAAAATCCAAAAAGAAAAAGAAGTAACTGTTGACAGAGCCACTTCATGAAGGGACTGGTAGCAGTGTGAGCCCCATGGGAACTGTGTGCCCTGACCCTGGCACAGGATCAGAGAGGGCACTGAAGGTTACACCAAATGGCCCAGGTGTGAGGCAGGTAAAGTATGCTTGTGCATGCTCAGTGGCAGGGCTCTCTGTGCCCACCTTAGTCCACCTTCATCCCGTGTATTTCCTGCCAGGGGACCACAGTCATCGCCAACTTGTCATCCGTGCTGAAGGATGAGACCACGTGGGAGAAGCCCCTCAAATTCCACCCTGGACACTTCCTGGACACTGAGGGCAGCTTTGTGAAGCCTTCTTGCCATTCTCAGCAGGGGCCTGATTCTTGGATGTCTGGTCCCTGTCCCCTTTTCAAGGTGCCTTGCTGGGGAGACACCCAGGCCGCAGTCTGACTGAGCCCTGTCCACTCCCACAAGTCCCCGAACGTGCCTTGGGGAGCCCCTGGCCCACATGGAGCTCTTCCTGTTCTTCACCTCCCTGCTGCAGCGCTTCAGCTTCTCGGTGCCTGAAGGGCAGCCCTGGCCCAGTGAGTGTAGTGTGATTTCCTTCATAGTGTCTCTACTCCCCTACCAACTGTGTGTTGTAGCCCACTAGAGGAGGCACCAAAGCCCCATCCTCCCCCCAGCTGGGGCCCTGAGCCACAGTAAACCAGTCTTGCCTCTGCCAGCGTACCACCTGACTCCCTCTTGTCTGAGTCAGCCAGGTCCCCTGTGTCATCCACCCTGCCGGCCACTGCAATTCACAAGCAAACTGATATTATTGATGCTCAGGAGATGACAGCTCACCTCAGGCCACCCTGACACCCATCCCTACCAGTGGGTGGTGGCAAAGCCCAGGCAGCAAATGGGCTCCATGCGTGTCAGGTTTGAGGCAGTTGTGGTTGGGCTTGTACTGGGAATGAGCCCAGTCCCTGGCAGGTGGCAGATGCTCCTGGTGGTCCCCAAGAATCCCCCAAGGTCTCAGAACCAGGGAAGCTGTCACACTCATCCTTCTGTTTTTTCAGAGGCAAGGAGAGATTGAATCAGCAGCAGGAAAAGGTGCTCAGGGTGGAATCCAGGAAGCCGGCAGGAGGGTTCAGCTGTGCTCTCTGAGGAGAGTCGCAGACGTGGTCAGTGCTCCCAGCAGCAGGGTGGGACACACATGGTGGCACTGGCCATCGGGCAGCTTAGTAGGACCTTGCTACCGAGGCTTTTGTTGTGGCTCTGTCCTATGGGGCTGGCTTTTGCATGTGGTTGACATCCCTGACTCAGTCTTTGTACTGCTGGGTCAGTGAGACAGCTCAAGGCTCCCACTGTGATGCAAAGAAAGAAAACTCCTACCTGGCACAGGTAGAGCTTGTGGCGTGCTGCAGAGCCCCAGGTGTGTAAAGGAACCTTCATCAGAAAGGGGTCCAAAGGCCTCAGCAAAGGCTCCCAGCAGTGGGTTTGGAGTCTGACATCCGCTTGCTGTCAGCAGCACTGATGTATCCCAGCAGCTTAGGTGACTTACTGCCTGGCCCTCTCCTCTTGGCTCTGAGAGCAAAATAATCACTTGCGCTTCAGTGTCTCTTTTTTTCTTTTTTAATGATAAAGGTACCTCCTTAAAGTGTGACATTTTGCATTTGTGGTCTTTTGCTGTGTGTGTGGCCTGCCAATGTGTGTGGTGTGCTGAGAGGGAACCTGAGGCTCTGTGCATTTCTGCCCCTGAGCTCCACCCAGGCCCTTTTCCCAGTGTACTCAGTAGCCTGCAGCCCTCAGCACTGCCCCTCCACTGATCTCTTTCCAGCTGTGAAAACTGAGGCTCTAAATCCCTGTGACAGTGGCTCCCATCCCCTCCTCTGCCCCTCTGCTGGTGACCACCAGTCTACTTTCTGTTTCTGAGTCTGACCCCAGTGGCCATGGGGAGATCATCAGAGAGGAATCTCATGACTTTTCAGGTAAGGCATCGTCCTCAGGATTCCTCCATGTGGCAGCAGGTGTCACTGCTCCTTTGCTTGAAGGCAGCGTAACTTCATTGTGTGGATGCCCAGGGGCCCCCAACCGCACTGTCTCTCCTTCCTCAGTGTCTTTTAAAGGTGGGCATCACAGTCTGAACACGTTCCATGCAGATTCCAGAAACTGATGATTCATAAGTTGTAAGTCGTGAGCTTTCCTGAGAAGTGTGGTCAATCTCATGCCTTTGCTGTGTGCTACTCATTCAGCAGGTGGGACACTGCTGTCACATGTGGCCTAAAATGATTTTCTCACAGTTTTCTTTCCTGGGCTGATAGTGACTTCAGTTGCACACTAGGTTTTACTTCTCATGAAGTCCAATTTGTGTATTTTCACCTTCTTGCCTTGTCTGCAGAACCAATTTGCAGAGGTTTCAGTCCATGATCAGCTGGCTCCAAGGCTGGGTGGCCTGGCACTGGGGCAGCACATCAAGGTGGCAGAAGACACCAAGGCAACAAGAGCCAAACGGGGAGGAAAAGCCTCTTTTCCTCTCTAGATTATAAGCGGCACCCCCATGTCTGTGCCCTCCTGTCAAGGCTCAGGGTGCTTACATACTGAGTACCCTGACCCCTGCAGAGTTACTTCCTTAAGTTTCTAAACTCCTTTATCCTCCAGGTAGCAGGATGTATCATCCATTACTCATGGATTTTTTCTATTTATTTTCTTCATTTTTTCCCCTAAAATCTTTATTGACATCTCCTTTAACGTCTTTCAGCAAGGTTTTATTTTCAGTGCTTATGTCCTTCACTTCCTTGGATTGCTTACTTGCTGGATTTCCTTCTTTGTGATGCTCTTTTAAATGAGTTGTATTTTTCATTCTCATTTTCACCTGGCTCGGCCTGAACTTTGGATCCTATTGTCTGAGCCTCCTGAGCCTGCCAGTGTGTGAGCTCTGCTTCAGTAAGTTATGTTTTATAGTTTCCGAACTGCACGGTTCCGAACTATTTCCATCTCTGCATCATTATATTGCTATTGACCCATGTGAGACCTGTGCTCATTACACACTTACTAATATAGATGGCTAACTGCTTTATGTATTTGTTTTCAGTTAAAGAAGGGAAGAAATGAGGAAAAACAAACCCAAAGTTCAACAGTACTGACTTTCATGTTTGCTTCTGTTGTTTTTCCTTCTTTTTTGTTTTTTGGTACCGGAGATCAAACTCACAACCTCGCACTTGTGAGGCAAGCACTTATGCCACTGAGCTAAATCCTCAGCCCTATGTTGTTGCTCTGTCCTGTGATGTTTCTTCTTGATTACCAGTTAGTGATTAGTATAATTCTTTTCAGCCTGGAGAGTTGCTTCTACAGCACATTCCAAGTCAGGCAGGTTGGCTGATAATGAACTCCCTCAACTTTTGTTTCGCTAGCAGTGTCCCGACTTCTCTTTGATTTGTGAATGGTACTTTGGCTACATAGAGGAAATTTCGTTGACAGTCTGTTTACTGTGCTTTCTGTATTTAAATATGACATCTTATGCTTTTGGATCTCCATCACCAGTGATAAACAACCAAGTATGACTCTGATGTTTCTTCGCATGAGATGGGTCACTTTTTTACTGCTTTCTAAATTCTTACTGCATTTCTTGGGGCCTAAAATAGCTCTGAGGCTCCATCCCCTCCCGCTCTAAGTCCCCGAATACATTGTGAGGAAATACAATTCCCAGCAGGCTCTGCGCACGCTAGCGGACTACAAGTCCCAGAGGACTGTGGGAGCAGGCTGGGGTAAAATCCCCCTTAGAGGCTTCTCCTCAGCATCCTTGTGGTGCAGCCCTGCAGCTTCAGTCTCTGCTCTCCGCCCCGCCACCTCTTTCCTCGAGGTAGGGGTGACCCGCGCGGGACAGCAGGGACCGTCCCCCCGGGAGACCGCGAGCCGGGGCTCCAGGCTCCAGCCTCCTGAGGGCCGCCACAGTCCCGCCGCGTCCTCGGCCGCCGCGCTCTGTGCAGAAGGCTGAGCGGGAGGCCGCCGCTGTGTCCTGCGGAAGGGCGGAGGCGGCTCCCAGCACCGCAGTGCCGAGCCCCGCGGGTACCTGGTGGCTCCCGCTGCCCCGGGGTGGGGCCGGGCTCCCACTGCACCGGGAGAGGGGAGGAGCGGGGGTCCAGGGCCGCCCAGCAGGTGTCGCTGTCGCGCTGTGGCCCTGTGACCTGAGCCTGAGGCTCTGCAGTGGCAGCTGGGCGCTGTTTGAAGGGCAGATGCCTGGAGGGCTTCCCAGAGGCTCGGAGTGAGAAGATGCAGGACGCGGTGAGGGCAGCTGGGTCTGGGAATCGCCGCAGAGAATTCTCCAGCTCCGCGGAAGTGGGGGTTTCTGTCCCGGAGGAGGCAGGAGGGAGGCCTGCGCCACGTGAATGGGCGGCTTTGATGGGAGTTTTGCAGGTGTCTGGAGCCCAGTGGGGTCAGGCGGTGGCTGGCAAAT